GAGAAGATCCCTAAGCTCCTCCAGCTCACAGACCACTATCCCATGTTCCTTATTCATGTGGGCACCAATGACACGGCCTGGAGCGCTTCTAGCCAGGTCATGAGGTGCTACAGGGATTTGGGAGTGGGGCTAAAGGGTCTTGGGGCAACGGCGGTGTTTTCTTTGATCCTCCCAGTCTTGGGCTATGGGCTGAGGGAGAGGAGGATCCAGGTAGTTACTCAAAGACTACAGCGCTGGTGTCGTTGTGAAGGCTTTGGCTTCCATGACCACAGTCCGCTCTTTGGTGAAAGAGGCAGCGAGCTGCTGGGAAGAGATGGCCTCCACCTCTCTCCCCTGGGGAGGAGGCTTGTCTCAGCCAGACTGGCTGACCTGCTCCACCGGGCTTTAAACTAAGCCCACCGAGGGACAGGGGGAATACCGTCACTGCTGGCCCATTGTGCAACCCTTGCAAAGCCAGCAGGCCAAGGCACTTACAGGAGCTCACCCCTGCCCCAGCCCTGGCACAATCTGTGGGCAAGGCAAGAGCCCCCAAGGCGACACTTGCCTGCCTGTACACAAATACCAGGAGCTTGGGGAATAAGCAGGAGGAGCTCGTCCTCCTGCTTAATGCAAATAATTACAACGTCATAGGGATAACAGAGACCTGGTGGGACTCCACCCATGACTGGACCACGGATATAGATGGCTATACCCTGTACAGCAGAGATCAAGTAGATAAAAGGGGCGGGGGTGTAGCTGTCTATGTTAAGGAAAGCTACGTGTCCCTGCAAGCTGATGTTGGCAACCAGGGTGGACGACAGGAGACCCTCTGGGTTAAAATCTGTAGGGAACATGGCACAGGGGACACAACGGTGGGAATCTATTACAGACTTCCCACCCAAAGTCAAGAGCTTGACCAGGAGTTCACCCGGGAACTGGCTGAGGCCGCATGCTCCAGGACCATAGTTGTCATGGGTGACTTCAATTACCCGGACATCTCGTGGGAGGATCACTCAACAAAATCCAAGCAGTCGCAAAGCTTCCTCTCCTGCGTGGATGACCTCTGCCTGACCCAAGAAGTCTATGGGCCAATGACAGGTAAAACGCTGCTTGACCTGGTACTGACAACTAGGGACGACCTAATCGGTGACCTAGTGATCGATGGGAAGCTGG